AAAGACTGAAATATTCCCTACACTCTCTAATACTTCAGTTGTTACTAGTAACTGTAAGCTATCTTCCTTCTGCCAAACAATCTCTTTGAATACTTTATTTTTTTTTAAGCATTTCAGATCCTTTCCCCAATTTCAGTTATCCTAATTATGTTCTCCCCAGTCTGAAGTTTTTGCAGAGATTTATATTTTGCATGATAAAATTCTGGCTGTTTAACATGCTTGATTTCATTTGGTGCTTTTAGATAAGTAAAATATGGAAGAAGACAATCGGGAATGAGGAGCTGCTTTCCAGCAGCAGTGGTGGGAGGAGAGGCGCTTCGGGAAGGCTGATCAGACACATCTGCTTGATTGTGCAAAAACTGAAACCCAGGCACCCTGGAAATGTTTAAAAAGCTGCTCATGTCTCTTGAGATTCTGCCATACAAAATTTGCCAAATCCTTGCCCCCTGGTGTGTGCAGCCTCAGAATGAGAGAGGGATTTTTAACAGAGGTACATTTTCCTGCATACTGAGGACTCTCTTGCTTTCAGAAGCCCAGATTTGCATTCAAATGTTATTTTCTAACTGCCCTGTTTCTTCTGGCAATTCAGGTAGCATATACACAGGCTAATGGTACACAGTAGCAGCTGGTAAGCTGGGTCTCCTTACCGGCAAAGGATACCGATGAGATTTGTCTTTACGCTCCTTGTGCTGATAGTGTATGTTTTTGTTATATCAAAATCAGCATAGAGTTCCACAAGATTGGAATTTTGGAGCTGTCCTCAAGCAAGTGATCTTTCACTGTGGCCAGAACAGTCCCTTGCAGTGCCTCGCAGACCCTGGGCAGGAACACACCTCACACGTGCAGCCTGGGATGGTTCTCCTCACGACATCTTGCTTCCAACCGTAACACGTGACTGCGCTGCTTGCTCGTACGAGGCCACGGACAAAAACGCCTGCTGAGTCAGTGGCACGAAGCCACGGATGCTGTGGCAGTGTGCTGGTGCCATCGGGTGTGCTCTGCACCGAAGGGCTTCAACTGTTCCCATTTGAAACCAGGCCCAGCTGCCCTGGCAGCTGTTTGCTGGGGACTTTTGCTCCTGACCCAGAGGATGGCAGGGAGATGGCTGCCTTGCAGCCAGGGGCTTCCCAGCGGCAAGAGCTGTAGGGATTGCTGAGATTCCTGCCTATTCCCCGCTCTCTGGGATGCATTTTCGGTGATCCAACCACGGGCAGCTGTGTTCATTCCTAATGGCAGGCTCACCGCCTGCTCAGCGGCCGTGGACGTGGCGCGCTCTGACCCTGGTTTATGCTTTGTCTTTCTGCCCAGCAGACCCTGCCCTGAGAAAGCTGCCCAGTGAAGGAGAGGGAATGGGCTGCCTGATGCTGGACACTTGAAATGGAAAACTATTTCTATTTAGGGAGATTTGTATATAAAACTGAGGACATTTTCCATTACCTCAATGTGTTAGAATATTTTTGCAAGTGTATCTCAAACCTGGTAAAAATGTAAACCTTAAGTAGAGATTGGACAGGATTTTTACTAACGTGCGTCTCTGAATTCAGACACTTTAGTTTAAGCTCAGACAGTTCAGTTTAAGCGGTTTACAACACATAGGTTCTCCCTAGGCTTACTAGAAACCCAGCTATAAAGATCAGTATCAAAGTTACAGCCATAGGCTATAGATAAGCTTCACTTCCCTTTGCAGGTGACAGTTTGAATGTAGCTTTGCTGAAGTACACCGCACTGTTGCTAACCCCCGGCATTGCCTGCGATGTTTCTCCATGCAATGAGCTGACTTCCCTTCTCCATCGGAGACCCAAGCTCGAGCTTCTCCAGCAGCGCTGCTGCTGCCCTGGGTCCGAGAGAAGTTGCACACAAGCTCTGGATAGCAAATTTTGAGCTGCCTGGTTATGGATTCCCCAAGACTGAAAGCATATCCTAGTAGCAACATTTCTTCTTGATACTATTTCCTAATACTGTTTCCTAATAGTTATTTATTGCTGGCAGCTGCTTGCTCCTTCCTCTCTCCACTCACACCATCAAAAAATTCTAAACTGAAATTTAGCCTTGAATATTCGTCCTGGTAGACCAAAGGCAAGGAGATCAATTCTCTGTCCTTTCCCATCTTTAAGCTCTACACAGATTTCAGCACAACCAGCTGAAATGCTGAAAAGGTGTAAAATTACAGCGAGTCCTCCTGCTCAGGCTAAGCCCATGTGATTCAGAAAAGCTCCTGACTGCCTGCATAGACAAATCCTAAAAAAATACGTCCCTCTGAAACATAATCCTCCTGCTCATCCCCTGCCCCTCCCTCCCCACTCACCCTTGACTCCCTATCAATCACTGCCAGGCAATTATCTGCTTCGTTTACTGCCTCCCGGTCAGAGCCAAAGTTCAGGAACTGGCAGTCAATGGCAGGAGATCACTCGGCGGAGGGAACTTGCTGTTCTCCCAGCCCGGCCACCCATTTCCCAGCAGCGGCCGGCGTGCTTCGCTGGAAGGCACGGCGAGCTTCTGCAGGGTGGTTGAAGCCTGGCTCTGACAGCAGAGGCTTCTCCTAGGAAGGGGCCTGAACCTGCTCCGGGCAGGAGGTCGGAGCAGGGTCTCCTTCTCCTCCTGCTCTGCCGGCACCCTGGGAAACGGGCCGGCATCTGCTGCCGCTGAGAT